CGAAGAATTATACGTCATGAGTTTTGATGCGGCTTAAATTGCATCTCGAAATTACACCCCGCGAAAACAGAGAGCCAACGAGCCACAATTTGCGAGAGTTGAGGCGACTGTGTCACTGTGCGTAACGACGCATGATTGGTATAAATCACAAACGGCTTTGAGTCTAACAGGTGTACCCTGAGCTTAACAAGGGCATACTTCATCGCAAGTAGCTCCTTTCTTCTCTGCAGCTTTCAGCTGGCGAGACTCAAACGCGATGACGCGTTCTCGACCCTCAGCACCAACTTGCAAAAGTGCACTACCAATGGCGAAGCCCGAAGCGTCACATACAACGCTAAACTGGCGATCAGGATCAGGTAAAGCCAGATTGGCACCTGAAGGGGACCCTCCTTAATGGCTTCAAAAGCCTCGTGATGCTCGGTGTTCCAACACCATTTTTCATTCTTTTCAAGGAGATTCTACAATCGCCTAGCCACTTCCGCATTGTTGTGGCTATACCAGTGCAAGTAATTTGACAAACCCAACCACTTGCGGAGGTCCTTCTGGTTCCTCGGAACCGGCCAACTCACTATGGCTTTGACCTTAACAGGTTCTGCCCGGATTCCTCGCTTCCCAATGAAGCATCCAAAAAAGGAATCTCTTCCGCACCGAAGATGCATTTGTCAATACTGGCATATAACTTATGCATCCTCATGCAACCAAGCACAGTTCGCAGGTGTTCGATTTGATTCTCTACATCAGTCTTGCCATTTTTGGATCGACTATGGACAAATATATCGTCAAAGTATGTCTGTGCATACGCCCTATGGGGCCGAAAAAAAAACTGCCTCACTAGACGATTGAACGTTGCAGACGCGTTAGATAGCCCTTGGGGCATCAATAATCACTCCTAGAGCATACTACTCGGAGTGCTGATTGCTATCAGCAGGTATCACTAGCTCGCATGAGCAGTTGGTAATATCCATCGACTAAGTCGAGGGCACTGTACACTGTACATCCCACCATATTGTTTTGAAGAACATCCTTCCGAGGAATCGGTGTTTGAGCCGGGATAGTGGCTGCATTCAGCTTGTTGTAAGCATGCACTATTCGCCACTTCCCATTAGGCTTTCTCACACAAAACGTGGGCGTAGAGTGAGAAGAATTACTCTTACACACCATCCAGCCGCGTGCTTCGCACAAAAGAACTCGTCGATGACGTCACATTGTTCTCGTGGCAGCGACCACTGTCGCGTCACACAATATTTGGTTCCTGAAACCAAGTCAATCTCATGACGTACACCTCTATCCGGATGTAACCTCGTAGAAGGTTCCCTGGAGACAACAGCTCCATGTTCCTTCAACAAAGGAAATTAAGAATCCGAAGGGTCCTTCAGGATCTGCGATATACTACGCGCATTTATCGCCTTCTTGGTATCCTCAAACACAGCTTGATAACAAAAGCGATGAAGAGGCCAACTCATTCTCAGGTCGTACAACGGCCACTTCGGCGAAGTCGCCTGCCTGTAAGGCACTGTTGCACTCGGCAAAGGACAACTCGTTCAGCTCTGACAGAGCACTTACTGCGGGTATGGATCAAAGCGCCATCGGCTCTTCAACATCCCAGTCACATCTCTGGCGAGGGTATCTCGCTGATCGCTATCACCGTCACTCACGATACTATCATCGCTACTCATGATGCTCTCAGCATCTGACGCATCAGCGCTCACAGGTGTACACACCTCAAGGTCAAAGACCATTTCGTTTGCTATCTGCACCCCACCCTCTTGGATCAATGCCTTTTCATGGGTGTTCGCACCTCATTGTCCTCAAAGACAACCGTCATTTTTGATTACACCCGACCCACTTCGGCCAGTACCTCGTCACTAGGTGCTTGCCCCTCGTTGTCACCAGCACAATATCGATTGGTAACTTCACCCAACCCTCTCGAGCTATTTTATTGTCAGTCGTTTTTGCAGCTCGTTTTACTCAAAGCCAACATCCATTGGGGACTTCACCTGACCCTCCAGGGTCAGTACCTCGTCGTTAGGTGCATGCACCTCGTTGTCTTCAAAGACAACATCTAGTCAAAATTTTGCCCGGATCTCCAGGGTCAGTACCTCGTCATCAATGTCACTCGGAAATTTTGCCCTGACATCGTGGCTGCAGCAACCATAATCACTTCTGGTGTTGAATGATGATGTAAAATCAATCTCATGAGGGTTCTCAACCACACGATTTACAGCCCTTGGACCTCGTCCAGGACTAATGTCCTCGACACTTACAGTGTCTACAAAGTCGGATAATTCGACATCCAACATATTGACCGACTCGGTCCAATATCCGCGCCAAAAGCGCATTTGCTTCCCAGCAGAGGTGGGTTCATGACTCTCCAGAGCCCCACCAGGAGTATCGCGCGTTGAGCCCAATGTCTTTAACCAGCCGTGACGGTCACTGCCTCAGGCACAGGATCTATGACCATGGCAGATAAAAGAGCTCTCAACTCTGCACATATGCCGCAAGCTCATGCTTGTCTTGGCGACACGCGAAAAATCGCGACCGATTAAGGCGGGCTTGGTTTGGCGTTACATAGTGCTGGGTCATCTGAAGTTTCAGATCGGTCCATGTTGGAAATGCATCTTGCAGTGATGCACCACATGTAAATTACCACTGTTTGGCTATTCTATCTAACTTACCCGTGGCAAAGCCCACACCGTACGGTTCATAGGTGATGTCGGCTATAAACATAGCCGAATCAACCTTTTGGAAACGCAGCATAAGGCTATCACCATCCTTGCCGTCGAACTTATCGACTTTCATTTGTATGGGCTCTGGTCTGCGTATCACTTCCTGCGCCATAGTCGTCATAGTCGCCATGGGCGTAGGCGCAATAGAAGGCACATGTGCCTCTACATGCTCGACTAGAGCTTTGTTATACTCTTCAAGCATATGAATACGCTTGTTAAACTCTTTTTCGCCTTGGGAGATAAGGTACTCTACGCCCTTAGGGCCGATGTTAGGGATCAGCTTCTGCAACCCTTCCTGTTGTGCTTAAGACATGCCAAACGCTGACATCTTACCGATGTCCATTATCACACAAAGAAGTCGCGAACTCAGAAACAGTATTGACTACAAGTGCTACCAGATGTAATCGAGCAACTGTAGCCAAGCTACCTATGCTCTACGTGTATAATAAAATTTGTCCTAGTATCCTTGACCCTCAAAAGGCTAGCATTACAAGCTTATGCCTTTTAGTTGCAAATAGCCATGTCTCCAAGAGACCAATATCAAACATACAATTTTTTTCCTTCAAGGATAAGCTTTAGCACGTGATGCTTATAGAGCAGGTTTGAAACTGATTTACGTAGCACTAAATATAGAAGTACCTACTCTATACTTAGTGCTAGTCACTTATTTATTCGGCTCTGTAGCCACCTAATATGTAAATTTGTATAGTCACTATTCTCAACTAAGTATACTGACCACGTACGATGCGACCCTTCGTACCTTTATGATGGTTACATCAACCCATCAATATACCCAAGGCACAGCCACACCACAATGGTGTGGCAGGTGTGTATGTACAATACGCACCTTTGTGTAACTCCGTTGCATGCCCCGCGCTTGCTCTGCGTGTCCCTTGGTTCTTCCTTGACCACTTTACATTCTCCAAGGTGCCGGCCCTTTCGCGACCGAAATCTGCCCTCCGCTGCTAACGACCTTCAGTCGCAGCAACTTCATCGCCAATTAGCCTCATAAGCTGTTAGATTTTACAAGTTGAGAGGATGCTGTGAAAAGGAAAAGTGATATTGTTATAACACCCAACAAACAATGTTTCTTACGCTTTCTTCCCATAACTATTTAATTACTGATCGTGGCTGCACCCAACTGCCTAGAGTTGTTGGCCCAACATCAACACACTCACCATCTTTCATTTCTTCTAATAGGATGAAGTTCAAGTACATGGGTCTTTGTCGACGGGTCGAAGTGACATTGGTAAGTAATTTCTCTCAAAGACAGAGTTTTCATTGAAAAGATTCGTAGCCATAAAACACCCGATGGAGCGAAAGCAGTGATCCAGAGGTTGGTCTAAGCAAGAAAGACACATTAGTAGTTTGTGTTATGCAATTTAAGATACCCAATGTTTTGACATGAAAATTGCAAGTATTCGTCCTTCTGTTAAATCTAAGGTTAACTCCAGTCGTCTTTTGATAGGCCTGGTGTTCTGGCAGCAATGATTTAATTGACAATGTGGAATATTGAGACATCAAAGCGTCATACATGAATGATCGCCTTGGTATTCGCCACTCTTGGTTGCCCCTGAAAAATAAATGGATGTGTACGTTGAACTCTCCAAGCACGTTTAAGAATTTATGTAATCACAAAAGGAGCAAGTGCTCGCTTGGCTCTAACGGAACATGAAAGAGAGTACGATTATTTTATCGCGACAATATTAAATTGATTGTGGTCCTGCACCACCAATAGACCAGATTTATCCAAGCGTAAGGACAGATAAATAAGCTTTGCAGCGAGGCTATCTGCTTAGCATGTCAGAAAGCGAGCACAAGGTAGACTCCCAACTGCTTTTTAATTCGACTCTTGCTTGCGGCCAAAACTTATACCCGTTTTTTGTGTTTCTTTGTTTGTGAGTGTCGCTCTTGCAGGACAAGCTGGAATTAGTATAGACAACCTTGGGCACTAGATCAATTGGAAGCATGCGTATAGCACTTTCTTGTGCCTTGCAAATAGCATCCATCACATCTCATGTCCCGACAGACGACTTTGTCGATGCTACAGCACCTGCACAACTCATGTCCCGAAAGACGACGTTGTCGATGCTACAGCACCTGCCGAGGAGGTGAAAGGATCTTTTATCGCGTTGAGCGCGGCATTCAGCTGACGCAAGTCCTTCTTGTGCTGACGTTTCCAGTCAGCCCGATTTTTCTTGCTAATGTTGTAACTCGCAAATCGGTCCTGGTCATCTGCTTCTTCGTGATCATCACCAGACTCGAATATCAATGTTATGTCGACTCGTCGTTGTTTGTTTTCTGTTCGTTGTCCCTAGCAAGTTCGGCACCAATGGACGGTGATGTATTCTCCAGATCACTATCACTTTCGTTCAAAATGGCCTCTAAATCATTGCTTAAAATAAAAAAAACAGTCGTTATGTCAACCACATCAGCATTCAAAGCCAATGGAATTGTTTGAAGGTAAGGCAACCCCAGCGCCGCATCTTTATCTGAATCACTGACACCACAAGGACAATCCATTGATCCTGCGGTCGTTTCACGAACTGATAAAAAGAGTGATGCAGCCTCGTCATACGATGGTAGTGGTGTTTGGAGCCCAGACAATGAAGGAAGCTCACCCGTTTCGTACAGATTTCCCTTACTGTAACGTCCTATCGTACCTTCCAATTTGCTTGCACCGCCGTCAATTTCGTCATCATTCATGCGTATCTGCGAACTACGTTGAAGCAACCTCGGAGCGACTGAACTGTGTGGCTTATCTTTATCTTCGGTTTCTTGCGTAGTTGCAGCTGTATCGTGATTATGCTCTTCTTTTCCATCATCCACAAGGACAGTAAACAGCTCACCTGCACTCAACCCGCTAAAACCGACATCTGGCTGACCCCTGTTGCACTTCTTTTGTAGATATATTGTTCTTTTGGTCGTGCACAGGAGCATGAACATTATCATCCGGATCGCTGTTGATGCCGCTGTCGGAGGCCTCTTGTATTGGCACAACAGATCCAGCCATCTTCTTGCTCTTTGAAGCATGCGAAGTAGTAGTAGCAGTAGTGGCACTGATGCTAGCATTGTCGTATATACCATTAGCGAAAGAGTACATGTCATGATTCACACTCTTCAAACTCTCATTTTTAAGGGGTCTTTGCCGATGCCTACCAAAGCTAATCGAATTTATTGTTCCTGCAAGCTCAGCTTCCTCACGTGAGAAAAACTGTTTTTCAATTTCCCCTCGTCTTGCAATACCGATACAAGCATTTCCGAATGTGGCGCTGCAGAGCTGTTTTCGCTCTTAATTCTTGGACCCATGTGAAGAGACAACGAAGCCGACGCAGGAGCGGGAGGGGGGGGCAGCAGGATGTGCCCAAATTTGAGCTGTATCGCTTGTAAAACAAAGCGACGGCCGCTGCTGCAAAGACTCCTCGCGTGGTACACTTTGAAAACCCTTCATTGGGCTGCTAGGATGCAAACGTGCTGGACACGGCGCGATTCTCTCCATTGATGGGGCATCAGTTAACCGCGAGTATTGAGAAGATGGGCGGATCGCAGACAGATGAGGTCTTGTCGGATTGGAAGTAGCATTTTTCGACGGTTTGGTTGCGCTGTAACGTGAACAATTTTTGTAAGGCGTCTTATCTTTTCGTCTTCGCTGCATATTTGTCAGCTCTTCAGCCGAGTCCGAAGAATCGGAGTCAAGGAAACACTGTTTGTGATATGGGTGAATAGTACTTGCCTTCATCAATCCATTCGCAGGTGCCACCGCTACATCCACATCGTTATCACCGATATCTTGATCAGTGTCATCCTCCGAATAAAAATGTTCAAGGTCACCAAAGCGCGATCGTGGCGCCTGGAAGTCCTCAAGACGAATCACGTCTTCAATCAACGCCTTCCTAGAACGGATTGGACTAGCACTATTTACAGACACTGATTCAATGGTCGTTTCGCAGAGAAGTGAATGTGTATCTCCAGTTTTCACGAAATTGGTGTCAGTTGGATGACCTGTAACTGATGCGATTTCTCTTTCCTTCTGTTGAAGCCTTAATGACGGCACTGTGCCTACGACGACACTGCTAATTCTTGAAGGTAAATTCGTCGTGTCTTGGGATCCTGTCACCTCGTGTGGTGAAGTCTCAGAAGTTGTAGCTTTTAGAGACATCTTAGCACTACTTTCCTTGCTTCCATTTTCCGTGCTATACTGGAGCGTCGCAGGCTTTTCTTGATCAATTTTGTTAGAAGCTAACATAGCTGAGTTGTTGGATGATACACCTGGTGGTGTGCTTTTCTTCTCAAAGCTACGTCTCCCAGTCCGAATACCCGATCTTGTCATTTTAGTGTGCTCCACATACTCCGCATATTGCTGTTCTGTTGTTGTAGCTTGAACATTGCGATTTACACGAATCAAGTCACCTTCCACAATATGCATTTGAATCCTGATAGTCACCAGCTTAAATTTTAAAAATGGGATGCCAAAGTATTGGTGCAAGGATTACAGTCCAGAACAATTCAATAACGAGCATTCAAAATATAGCAACTCGGTACGTCGCCTCCACTGTTGTTGTTGCGGCCGAATACTCGACCCGTATAGCATTTCCTCGATATCTTCTTTAAATACCTTTCTCTGTGTCCCTTGGTCTCGAACGTTTCCCAGCACCAACGTCGAAACGTCTACTGGCACGTTATCAAGCTGTTGCTTTACGTACTCTAGCGTATCCCACTTGGTAATATCCAGCAGAAAGATCGCTCCATGAGCTTCATGATACACAATTACGGTCGAGGCATCCACAACAGCCATCGCGTGGGCCTTATTCTGTATAGCAACATCATGCTCAGCCGGTACAATTACTTCACCCAATACATTTTCCTGGCTTTGTAAACCTCCTTGTCCCACAGCAATAGCATCCTCTTGTCTTATAGCAACTTCTTCATCCCCTTCCTTACTTTTACAGGAACAAATCCTTGGTCGACCACGTCCCAAACCCCACACTTAACGTTTTCCTCCAAATTCTGTGATAAATTCCATTTGATAGTGGCAGATTGAAGCTGGGGCGTGGTCTCGTGCGTCTCGGGAATAGGGTCACCTTAAAGTCGCTGAAAAAGAGGGGTTTTGCCCATTTACTTGGCACCACGAATCAATAGCTTCATGTAATATGTAACGCTTCTCTCGCACAACGGCGAATGGCCTTGTCCATGCGCTGAATTGTACACTCCTTCTTAGGGTTTTTTAACCCAGAAGTCGAGCTGCTGCTGCGTTGCAAAGAGATTGAATTCACTGTTTTCATTGAAATTTACGGAGATGGTATGCTGAAGTTTTGTACACAGCGAAAGACCCACGTCGAGGTGTGTAGGGAGAGCAAGAGTGATGAACCTTTGAGTCCTGTGGACTCTGTTTAGACGACTTATTCACTGAAAGTTACAAAATCGTAAATGTATTAAAATAGTGTGGGTCACATACACTTGTGGGTCGAAAGACCGCACTCTGCGGTATACGAATTCAAGCTTCTCGACAACAATGATAGCTGGTGACAGTGTAGCTCTGTGTGAAACGTATCGTCTCTCAGTCCATAACTTGATACAACGTCGCACCCTTAAGCGCGTAACATCAAGCCTTTTAGACATTTCAGAATCTGAACGTAATTGGTCATCGTTCTGATTATTCGGCATAATCGAGCGTAAACTCCAGAGAACTTTTTTAGATACGGAATGTAAGAAGTGTTTTTTGTACATACATACTGCCTAAAATCATCTTGACTGCCGTCGGACCGTATTATCTGGCGCAGCTGGTCCGCCTTCTCGGAAGTATTCCCGTCTGGATCAATACTGTGTATTTCCTCCAACCCAACACTTCTAGATGAAAGGTCTATCTTCAATATGGCCGCCCAATTATCGATTGCTCTTCAACCAAGCATTTTTACATTTAAAAGGTAAACACTAGATCATCCTTATGCGGTGTGTCCACCAGGAGCACCTAACATAGCCTCGTTGGATCTTTCTGATCGGTCCATGGCTAGAGTAACGAGGTCATCACTGTTGTGGGTACACTTGGCAACTGTAGTATGCTTAATGGGGATGTAGTACTGTGGTGTCTCCACCAACGGCCCTTCATCCTCCTCCGTTAAATGTATCTGATGGCCGACCTGTTCGGTGGTGGATTCATACGCCAGATTCAGCCACTCGTCGTATCTTTGATATCCCACCGAGACGAAGCCCTCCGCTCTTGGTACTTGGTCCTTCATCAACCACATACCTATTTTGGTGTCACCGTGCAATATTAGGGAGTGGGAGCTGACATTGGTCACCTTCAGGAATTTTCGATGTCCTATTGCTTTGTTCATGGTCGTGACCCACCGTTCTCCTTTCGTGACCCACACTTTCCATTGATCCGAGGTCGACCTTTTAAAGGTACTTACACGTACCCTTCAACCGGTATGTGTGCATATCGACCCAACTTCACAACCCGGTGTTCGTACAGCGTCCCCCCCAGTGAACTCGAACTTCATCGATGAGACATAGTGTTCCGTCCGCCAGGTCTAACCGAATATACCGGCTGGGTCCATGAAGTCCATGCCCAAAACTACGTCTTGGTACGCCATCGTGCCTACCCACACCTTAACAATATGCACCAAGTTTTCATTCTCGGTGACCATGATGCGGGTGCGTCCTACCGTAGTATATACAGATTCCCAGATACCAACAAACTCTTGTCGTGTTTCAGTTTAGCAGCCTACCTTAGGCGATGTCCAGGATAGATACCTCGTCGCCAGTATCAAACAACAAGTTGCGCGATCATTGTTGACCTTTCCAGAGGTCTTATCTTGCCTGAATAACTTAGTGAGAGCATGGTATTTCCAGTATCCCCTGGAAATTCTCCCGAAAATAGGTCCAACATCATCACTGCATTCTCTCGTGCAGAGTCATGAGGTGCATTCAGAAAAGCAACAGAGACCATAGGCTAGCTTCCAAACTTCGATATATTTGTCAATCGCGTTATCTCGAGTACCCCTTCCTTCCTTGGACTGCTTTTCCACATATGCAAAGATACAGCAATCAGAACGCTCGTCTCGTTCCAGATTTAAACCTGGCGAGCGTCCTAATTTATCATCTTCTCAGATTTCTCCGGCATCATCTCGGCATGCTTGGTCGGGTTATACCATTGGCGAATCAAGTTGAAAGACTATTCCATCTGGCACTTCCCAACCTCGTGCGTTTCTCCACAGCCTCGGCAAACAAACCGCAACGATCCGATGGGTGAACCTTCTTCTCAAGTGGTCACAGATCAATCGCTCCCAACAACCCAAGTATCCATGTTTCCTAGACCCACAATGAGCATGTCTTGCATTTGGCGTCGCCGACACCGTGCGGGATCCGAGGTCCTTGGTCGAGATTGAGGCAGGTCGGGAAGACATTGTCATCACTGGAGTGGGTGCACTTGGCAGCTGTAGTATGCTTAATGGGGATGTAGTACTGTGGTGTCTCCACCAACAGCCCTTCATCCTCCTCCGTTAAATGTATCTGATGGCCGACCTGTTCGGTGGTGGATTCATACGCCAGATTCAGCCACTCGTCGTATCTTTGATATCCCACCGAGACGAAGCCCTCCGCTCTTGGTACTTGGTCCTTCATCAACCACATACCTATTTTGGTGTCACCGTGCAATATTAGGGAGTGGGAGCTGACATTGGTCACCTTCAGGAATTTTCGATGTCCTATTGCTTTGTTCATGGTCGTGACCCACCGTTCTCCTTTCGTGACCCACACTTTCCATTGATCCGAGGTCGACCTTTTAAAGGTACTTACACGTACCCTTCAACCGGTATGTGTGCATATCGACCCAACTTCACAACCCGGTGTTCGTACAGCGTCCCCCCAGTGAACTCGAACTTCATCGATGAGACATAGTGTTCCGTCCGCCAGGTCTAACCGAATATACCGGCTGGGTCCATGAAGTCCATGCCCAAAACTACGTCTTGGTACGCCATCGGGCCTACCCACACCTTAACAATATGCACCAAGTTTTCATTCTCGGTGACCATGATGCGGGTGCGTCCTACCGTAGTATATACAGATTCCCAGATACCAACAAACTCTTGTCGTGTTTCAGTTTAGCAGCCTACCTTAGGCGATGTCCAGGATAGATACCTCGTCGCCAGTATCAAACAACAAGTTGCGCGATCATTGTTGACCTTTCCAGAGGTCTTATCTTGCCTGAATAACTTAGTGAGAGCATGGTATTTCCAGTATCCCCTGGAAATTCTCCCGAAAATAGGTCCAACATCATCACTGCATTCTCTCGTGCAGAGTCATGAGGTGCATTCAGAAAAGCAACAGAGACCATAGGATAGCTTCCAAACTTCGATATATTTGTCAATCGCGTTATCTCGAGTACCCCTTCCTTCCTTGGACTGCTTTTCCACATATGCAAAGATACAGCAATCAGAACGCTCGTCTCGTTCCAGATTTAAACCTGGCGAGCGTCCTAATTTATCATCTTCTCAGATTTCTCCGGCATCATCTCGGCATGCTTGGTCGGGTTATACCATTGGCGAATCAAGTTGAAAGACTATTCCATCTGGCACTTCCCAACCTCGTGCGTTTCTCCACAGCCTCGGCAAACCAACCGCAACGATCCGATGGGTGAACCTTCTTCTCAAGTGGTCACAGATCAATCGCTCCCAACAACCCAAGTATCCATGTTTCCTAGACCCACAATGAGCATGTCTTGCATTTGGCGTCGCCGACACCGTGCGGGATCCGAGGTCCTTGGTCGAGATTGAGGCAGGTCGGGAAGACATTGTCATCACTGGAGTGGGTGCACTTGGCAGCTGTAGTATGCTTAATGGGGATGTAGTACTGTGGTGTCTCCACCAACGGCCCTTCATCCTCCTCCGTTAAATGTATCTGATGGCCGACCTGTTCGGTGGTGGATTCATACGCCAGATTCAGCCACTCGTCGTATCTTTGATATCCCACCGAGACGAAGCCCTCCGCTCTTGGTACTTGGTCCTTCATCAACCACATACCTATTTTGGTGTCACCGTGCAATATTAGGGAGTGGGAGCTGACATTGGTCACCTTCAGGAATTTTCGATGTCCTATTGCTTTGTTCATGGTCGTGACCCACCGTTCTCCTTTCGTGACCCACACTTTCCATTGATCCGAGGTCGACCTTTTAAAGGTACTTACACGTACCCTTCAACCGGTATGTGTGCATATCGACCCAACTTCACAACCCGGTGTTCGTACAGCGTCCCCCCAGTGAACTCGAACTTCATCGATGAGACATAGTGTTCCGTCCGCCAGGTCTAACCGAATATACCGGCTGGGTCCATGAAGTCCATGCCCAAAACTACGTCTTGGTACGCCATCGGGCCTACCCACACCTTAACAATATGCACCAAGTTTTCATTCTCGGTGACCATGATGCGGGTGCGTCCTACCGTAGTATATACAGATTCCCAGATACCAACAAACTCTTGTCGTGTTTCAGTTTAGCAGCCTACCTTAGGCGATGTCCAGGATAGATACCTCGTCGCCAGTATCAAACAACAAGTTGCGCGATCATTGTTGACCTTTCCAGAGGTCTTATCTTGCCTGAATAACTTAGTGAGAGCATGGTATTTCCAGTATCCCCTGGAAATTCTCCCGAAAATAGGTCCAACATCATCACTGCATTCTCTCGTGCAGAGTCATGAGGTGCATTCAGAAAAGCAACAGAGACCATAGGATAGCTTCCAAACTTCGATATATTTGTCAATCGCGTTATCTCGAGTACCCCTTCCTTCCTTGGACTGCTTTTCCACATATGCAAAGATACAGCAATCAGAACGCTCGTCTCGTTCCAGATTTAAACCTGGCGAGCGTCCTAATTTATCATCTTCTCAGATTTCTCCGGCATCATCTCG